TAAACATGTGCAGTTCATTCGAGTTGTACTGATTTCGTTATTTTATTAATAATCAATATTTATAGGAATGCTTCATTCTTGTTTAAATGAGCAGTTATTTCGAGTTGTACTGACTTAAGAACCCAGACAACCAGAATGCACGTATATTCAAAGTTTTTTCTGTGATATACAAACATATATACCGACAATCAAATCGTATAGAATGCAAAAAAGGGCTTATATCTTCAAAAGTGGAGGCCATACGTATAAATTTTAATTTCTTATTAAACGAGTTGATTTGACATCATATACGATGTAATCCGATTTAATTTGTGGTACAGTATGATGGAAAATGGTTCTTCGCAAAAAAAAGGAAATTTGCATTCTATACTAACTTAAACATAATGCGATGTATGTCGTACTTATATGCAATGTTGACTTAAACTGTAGTTATTTACGATACTCTCTGTACATTGGTATTCAACTTCTGGTTGTCTGGGAAATTTTTAAATAATCAAAATTTTGATTTATATGAATCCCAACTAACATTTTTGGCAATCTAAACGCTTTACTCATTTCATTTATACAGCTCAAGCTGTATTCAAGTGTTATACGATATGAGGAAACCTTTACTCAACCTCTTTACAAGCAAATCTGTTGAATTAACTCACCTACTTATGGCTGTTGGGATCGGTTGGAACAAGCTTTTATTGCATATCCATTTACGGTTCTATACAGCTGTTATCCTGCTGTTTAGTTGTGTGTGAACTTGAAAGGCGCTTATACATCCTTTACCCGGTTATCCAATAATCACTGCACAGTTTTCTATGGAAGCCGGGTTAAATATTGTTTAACGCTGCTTTTTTTGTTGGAGGATTTTTTAAGTTTATTTTACCATGAGAATCAAATTTATCGAAATAAGTCATAAGAACACTACCAAATTTACAACAAGATCGCTGAGTAGAGGCTTTATAATAGTGCACATGAATCACTTTTCTCGACTAGTTACTTCAGCTTTGTAAAGGAGCAGAGTAAAAGCTGTAAAACTGCACACCTCTAAAAATAAACCTAGTTGGCTGTAAAAATGCATCCAAAGTAGCGCTAACACAGTTTATTAGCTGAGTACGGGTTGTTTAGTTGTTGAAAAAGCACTTTTGTTGTTTATGTTATTCAGAAAGAGTGGTTTTGTGTTGAAGCCATCAAATGAGTAATAAATTCACTTTACTGGCTTTGTTTTGTAGCTAAAAGTTGAAAGTTGATTGATATTTGCATAGAAATTACATTAGCGTTTATTGGCTGTTGTTATTCAGTGTGAATGACTAATTGAATAATGGTTGTGAAAAAGTTGTGTAAACGCTCTCCAAAATTATTTTGCCTGCTTCTGCTTGTAGTTGTTTCAGCAGCTTTTTTTGAGCTACAGCACAACGCTGGAAAAGTTGGCTGATAATGCTGAAAACGTTAGTAGGGATATGCTTCTTTCTTTTAAACATGAGGAGTTCCTTCGAGTTGCTTTACATGGGAATATCTATTATTCAAATGCGTTCCAAATTCATTTTAATTGTATATTGATTAATGATTAAAATTCTGCGAAATGACTCATTCAGCGAAATTACCCATCCGGCGAAACGTCTTTCGGCGAAATGACACAGCCTCGTGCAAAACGCACCATTTAAGCCAAATCGTCAATTGCTTGTGTATGGAAGCTAAAATCAAGGCGGAAGGAATTGGGTATGGCTCATTACAATATTGTCTATAAAGATCGAAAAATTTCGAACTCCAAAACGATGATTTTAATGAATTTCAAGGTATCTTTGCTCATAATGGAGCAAACATGGAACCTGTGGAAACAAACGATTTCAAATAGGATCACTACTTGACTAGCCTATTGGTCCCAAGCAAATCTATTAACGTACCCCATTCTAGTCGAAATTCTAGAACACACTATGTTTGTTTTGATTTGCTATGAAACTTTTCTTCATAAAGTAAAACATCTAAACAATATAGGAAAAGTAAATTCGTTCCATTCTTTCACGATATATGCAGTTAAAACCTTAACTTGTAGTCGATGATTTTAAGTTAAAATTTTTAACAACTGTCTATGTATGTCAAGATATAATTTAATGATCAGGAATTATTTGTGGAACCTCCAGATGAAAACATGCACAATCCGTTATCCGGAAAAAGCATCTGAGGAAAAGTTATCGTTGTTTTTCTACAAGTGGGCATTTTACCCCAGGGGTTCATTATGGCCTGTTCTCCCCTATACATCTGCTCCGAAAAACTCGTGCCCGATAACACTAATATTGAATTTTTTTTTAAAATTATAGTCACTTTAACGCTCTTGGGTCATTCGTGACTTTTAATATTGAATACATATAGAGCTTCATTCCTATGATACTCAAGTTTGTTTAACTATAGGTGAGCTAAGTTCCAAACACTAACCTATCAATCCCATACCTCACAGTGCAAAATTTTGAAATATGCATCATCAAGTCGGTTTTTAAGATTGCCGCGAGAGTTTTAATGACCTATAAAACCTAAGTTTTAATGGTCTATACAACTCAGAGGTGATAAATGTCACGAAAATGTTATGGGGAAGTATGTCGTGACATTAGTGCGGTGACGATCTACCGCGACCAAATGTCGATTCCGCAATTGACGGGAAGGTACATAAAAATTAAGTCTTGATGATAAATAAGCTGAGTCAATGCGTTGCGAATCAAAACGCTTTATAAAATTGACTGCTCTATGAATTATTGTGTTATAATGGTCCACGAATGTTTTTTAGAATCAAGAATAACTCCTAAATTTCTTATTTATCACAAGCACTCTGAGATTTTTCAAAATAAGAGAGATATCGTTAATGTATAAAATGAAAAGAAGAGGTCCCAAGTGCGAGCCCTGTGGAACTCCTGACGTGACCTGAATTTAGTTTGATTTTTTCTCGCTGAATCTTACAATTTGCTGACGGTCCGTTAAATATGACTTAATCCAGGTGAGGAGTTTCATCTCAATTCCCATTTTTCTAATTTAAAAATCAACATTGGAATGTCAAGTCTATCGAACCTTTACTGAAGTCAGTGTAAAGAGCTTCTATTTGGTTTCTCTTGTCCATTGCAGTTAATGAGTAATCAACGAATTCCACGAGGTTTGTTGTGGTAGAACGACCTTTAAAAAAGCCGTGTTGTGCATTTGTTATTATATGTTTTATTTGGCTGAAGATATTTTTGTTTATGATTGATTCGAATAGTTTAGTTATGCACGAGATGATGGCGATAATTTCAGGTATCAGATTTTTTACCAGATTTATAAATGGGTATTAAAAACGATTCTTCCACTCCTACGGGAATGTACCAGAGTCAAGTGACATATTAAACAGTCTGTATAAAGGGGTTGTGAGCTCAATTGCTAAATTATTCATACAGGCTGGTGGGATTTCATCTGGTCCTGAGCCTTTAGTGGCGTTCAAATCTTTTATACCTGTCAAAATATATTGAACATAAATGTTACTAACACCAACATTACTCGAAAAGTCAGGAAAGCATGAAAAATATTCATAATCACGATCATTATCCGAGAAATTTGAGTACGTCGCTTGAAAAAATGTTGCAAAAAGATAACATATATCTTCTGAATTATTTCCGCCATTTTTGATGGAAAGTTGCACGAATTAATTTTAGTTTTATTGTAATTGAAGAAGTTTCTTGGACATGATTTAATTTCATTTTCAGTGTTTATGTTGTACTCAAAGTGTAGAAGAAACAGCAAAATTAAACTGGTCACAAATATTCAAATACTTTTCCAAATTACCCTGATTGTTCTGTTGTGAGCCTTTTGTTTCTGATTGTTCAAATTATTCATTTAATTCGGCGTTTTACTCACTTCGCTAATAAAATTTGTATGGTTATTTTGCTAAACGACGTCTTCAGGGTATCATTCAAACCATTTGTGCAATAGTTATATAATTTGGGTTATCGTTCGGGTATGGTCTTTTTATTAGGGTTGAATTACGTAATTAACGACCATAAAGCTGGTCGATGACGGTCTATTAAACGCCGACTATCAGGGTGAGTTGAATCAACTCACTTGAAACGTGTATTTGGGCCTTTAAGGTATATATTTACACACAAGTAGCACGGTTCTCTGTCAGTAACAGCACCCCTGTATCAGCTGCGATCTCGTAATAATAGGTAGCAGAAAGGATTATCTTCTATTGTCCCAAACACTTAATCAATTTGATCAACAAACAACTATTGAGGGCAGGATATACCTACTCTTCGCAGAGCTGGAAGCTCACAGTTTAGTGATGGCATCATCCGTAAGGTATTTGAGAGGTGAATTCGACATTTGTTATTAACTCGCTAGAATTAACGTTACTCGGTGCGTTTGCTGTTGCTTTTGATAGCCAATACAACCTGTTACAACTCTGCATTGAACAAATTCTAGAAAATTGTTTTGCTTAGCTGTAGCAAAACATGGAGATAATCAATGAAGAGAATCGATCATCGCGTATACGCCCTTATGCCTGCTCACTGTTGAATTAGTTGATGACGATTGCTGATGATAAGAGAGCAGGAGCAAACTCTCCCGACCTGTTAGAGATCGAGACGGTGAATCAAATCGAGCCATCGTGTTAATTATTAAGTAAATTTAAATGTTTCGCTGAAGCTACCAGAAACTTAAAAGTGTTTAATTCTTATGTTGTAACAATTTGCGTGTGTTAATAATTTAAGTATGAACACATATGGAGTGATCTAGAACTGAGGTACGAATGACGAGTTTGATTAGTCTAAGAATGTTATAATCCTATACTTTTTCATATGTGATATCGTTTGCATGTAATTTTAGATTTCGCTTTACTCTTTGCCATTTAGTTGCATCTTTAAGCAGTGATGTTGAATATTTTCTCTTTGCAGCAATCGTCCTAAGCGATATTATGCATAAAGCTATTGTAAGTTTTTTAGTTACTACTTTCTGAAAGCATTATTAAATTTTTCTGTTTACTATTTTTAGCCATTTAATGTTCCTCCACTTACTGCAAGTTTTATTTAATAACCATTAAATTATATTAATTTACTACACTTATCTGACTGAAAATCGAAGCTTTCAACCCGTCATTTCAAATTTACCCACATCAACGAGGGAAAAGTACTCGGCAAAGGCAGAAAGACCGTTCCACGCATGTGCATGTCAACCACTACACCTCTAATGCTTTCTCGATTTACTCTACCCACTGTTTATATTACTCCCGTCAAACCCGGCTGCAATAATAACAAATCTATTTTTGTGTCAGTCGAAGAAAAAGTTGTGATAGATGAGAAAATGTTCATAATTCCGTTGTTACGTTGAATAATAATATTTCCAAACCAGGAATTGTGTCGAAAAGCAGCCCTCAATCTAATAAAAAAATGCTTCCCGAGACGCTCGTTTTTGGAATCGCGTTACTGATCACGGGCGTGATCCTATTTCTACTAATCTACTTTGTATCCTTTTGGCAAAATCAATATTCCGCATTTTTCCACAGAAAATTCATCAATGAAAGTGTCGATTTTCCTTAGCTTCATCGTGTCCCATTTAGGTAATCATTCTCTCCGATCTGGAATGTGACTATCTCAATGCGCAGCAGTGCTGTACCAAGTTGAATTTCTGGGTCGTACCGAGGATTTCGGCCCATTGCTTTCTAGCGATTATTTTGCTCATGAATGGAAGCTGGCTTCTGTTCATAGCCAACATGCCGATGATTGGATGGCAGGTCTACGATCTGATGAAGGTACCCACCGGAAATCTAGGAATCTACGATCCGGCCGAGATTCACAACCGGGGCATGGTGAAGAAGCATATGCGGGATACGATGATCAGTCTGGGTTTCTACATGATCATTTTCTTCGTGTATCTGTATTGGTATGTAGAACTATTCACCAGGTTTTAGATCGGAGTAGATTGATGAGGACATTTGTATTTCAGTATGATTATTGCCATGCTAAAAGGAGACCCAATCAGACGACATGAGGAGGAAGAGATTATTACGGAGTTCTAGCCCATGGTGCACCAGCTGAGTCAGATGACTCAGAAGCGATTCGGACTCTAGACCTGTGCGGTTCTTCTTGTTAGTAGCATCAAAATGCATTTCATTTTCTGATATTTATTTTCCTGTATCATTTCTTCATGTTGAATACACTGTCTTGTATATCTACGGCTAGTAGATTTATATCTTAAAGTAGATCTCTATAAAACTATTCAAGTGTAGTAACCTAGTAATGCATATACATATAATAGGACAACTCGAGACAAATACCGATCCAGAATGATTCAAGCCAAAGTGTAACAAATTTCAAGCGATTAAAACATATTCTGAGATATATAAACGATATTTTATTCGCGACTCGAAGATTCCTATTGGATTCCGTCATGTTGTGCAACCAAAAAAGTGTAAAAAAATATACATTTTAAATTCACCTCGACACCTAATGACGTCTTAATGTGCGTCTCGGATTTGATGTTTTGTTTTGAAAAATGTCCTCAGAAATCATAGTAAATAGGTAGATGAGTGATTTATATGCAGGTAAGTTTATGAACAGTTGTTATGTTAGAATTTTGTCAAATTGTATCTGAGTTAGAGGATGTGAATATTTTTTCTAAAATATTTTTTTTCGCATTGCTTAACAAGAAAGGGATCGATAGAAATAACTTTTATAAAACTGAAACATTTTGTTGACTGAGATTTCTATTTTTCGTCCTCAAATCTTCCATAAGTCTAAGGGTATTTTCTGAAGGGAAACAGCTTATTAACCATTGCCAGAAACTTAACTGGGGCCTCATAGCCTAGTCAGTTGAAGCACGGTATTACCAAGCCGGAGGCGGCGGGTTTCGATACCCGGTCCGGTTGAGGGAATCTTTCGGGTTGGAAATTTTCTCGTCTTCCGTGGGCATAGAGTATCATTGTGCTTGCCACACAATATACAAATTCATGCATTGGTATTGGCATTGAAAGCTCTCAATTAATAACTGAGGAAGTGCATTTAGAACATTAAGTTGAGGGCACGCATTAAGAAGAAGAAGAAGAAGAAACTTAACTTAATTTCTGGTCATTTTCTTAGGAAAATGTCTTCAGGGCATCAAATTTAGGTAAAATAAATAAATATATATCAAAGTAAATATTAACAATGTTACTACGCAGTTATATCAAAATCACACTTAATTATCCGACCCTGTATAGAAGTTTTGCTAATCTTAACAAATTTTAATAAATAAATGGTGATGATCTCATCTTGTGCAGATCTCAGGAAGTCGTCCATTTGCTCGTTTTCCTCTCATTTCGAATGACAAATTTAATCATAGTGCAGTAATCAGACTTGATCCAAGAATATTGGAACCACATGATCCGCCTAGTGTAAATCTTATGATCTCAGTTTTGCCCTGTTTTCCCCGGGTAACTGTAATTTTGTCATGAACTGATTTTAGTGAAATTAAAGAGAGATCATTTTTTTATATAAAATGAGCAAAATTTCAGTTTATATGGATTATTGTTCTTACCGAAAAAAGCAGTATTAAAAGGGCTATAAAAAAGCATTTTACTAAAATTACAGACGCGGCCAATCAATGGCAAAACCATACCGATAAACCTAGAAAAGTTGATGTACTTGCAGCCAATATTTCCGAAATGTTGGTGCACATCCTGGAAAGATACATTTCAATGCAATTTCTTGGAGGGAAAAAATCTCGAGGTTGTCTTAGTTTTATAGAATTTACGAAAAATCAAGACTAAAAATTCACGCCTGATTACGCCTTCCTTTGGAAGGGAAGTAAATCCGTTGGTTCCCCGGTCTATGAGTTGATGGGTCGATGGGTAATTGACAATGTAAAGAGAGTTTTGGCAACAATTTCAAGAAAACTCTGACAAGAACTCCAAAGGAATGCTGACATGCTCTTCCATTGGAAGATACCTCTAAATATTTCTGGAGGTTTCTTCCGAATTCCCTCAAAAAGGGCTTTAGGCTTTCTATGGAAGCTTCATTCGAAACCATCTGCGATTTTACGATTTATCCTGGAAGCTCTTTCTGGCATCTCCGAGAAGTCCGGAAAGTGTCGTCTAACTTCCTCTGGAAGCTTATCTGATATTTCTCTGAAATTTTCTTTCGTCTTGCTTCGAAAGCATTTTCACTTTTGGATGTTCATCTCCCGACAAATAATGTCTACATCCTTAGGAAGTTTCTTGCAACTTTCTCTGAAAGTCCTTTACAACTTCAGCCGGAAGTTTATCCTGACTTCTCTGAAAGTGCTTTCGAACCACTAAAAAAGATTCCATTCGCTGGTAGTTTTTTCTAGATTTATCGATAGTTCAACACAGAAAAAAAATTCCTGGGAGGGAATGGTGATTTGCTCTAGTTTTATTGTAAATGTATATTGAACATGTCATTTTTAATAGTTTTCTAGGAATCGGACTAGCTGTACTAGAATTGGGAAATGTGATTTTTGTTAAAACTCGCCGAAAATAGTTTCAAAGTCGCCAACACTACCCAACTAACAATTTTCACATTGTTAACGCTTTCCTCATTTCATATTTATACAGCCTTAAGCTGTATTCAAATGCTATACGATATGAGGTAACCTTTACTCAACCTCTATACAGGCAAATTTGGCGAACTTAGTAAGTTAATTATGGCTGTTGGGACGATTGTGACAAGCTCTTATTGCATATTCATTTACGCTTCTATACAGCTGTTATTCTGCTGTTTAGTTATGTGTGAACATGAAAGGCGCTTACTCAACCTTTACCCGATTATCCAATAATTGGCTACACAACAGCTTTCTCTTGACGCCGGGTTTAATATTGTTATCGCTTATTTTTTTGTTGAAGGAATTTGTCATGTTTATTTTACTGCGGATCGAATTAATCGAAATTAGTTATAAGCAACACCACCAAATTATTTACACTGTACCGGAACTTGGAATCGAACTCGAGACGACCACATTGGCGAACCTTGATACTATCAACTTCGCTACGCCAACACTTTGAATTGACGTAAACAAATGTACATGCCCTTCTACAACAAGAACGCTGAGTAGAGGCTTTATAATAGTGCACATGAATCACTTTTCTCGACTAGTTAATTCAGCTTTGTAAAGAAGCAGAGAAAACTGCACAAGTCTAAAAATAAACCTAGTTGACTGTAAAATAGCTTCCAAAGTAGCGCTAACACAGTTTAACCACCAATCAATACGAAACTAACGATTTTAAATTGGCTCACTACTTGACTAGCCTATTGGTCCCAAGCAAATCGACTAATGTACCCCATTCTAGTATAAATTCCAGTACTACACTATGTTGGTTTTGATTCCCTATGAAAGTTTGAAAGATAAAATGAGGGGTTAGTAGATTTTTCTATGTTTCGAGGGGTGAATCGATTAGCTTGGGACCGAAGATAGTACCAGAGCTGAGCCAAAAAATTGGGCTCGTTTCTTCGGGACCTTCTGGTCTTAGAGTTACCTCTATGGTTTAACCTTGTTGAGAGAAGCGTGGATTTTCCATTCGTAGCCGGTAATTCAGATCAATCTACGGCTGTTCTTACTAACGATTTGAAAACCATTACCAAACAATTAGTGGAACAAAAGTTTGTTTCTTCGATTAACTCGAACAGCTGGTATAATTTGGATCTTTTGCTCCGTAAGCGTATACTCAAAAAAAATTTCTATTATTTATTACATCCTCTGTATATGTTTTATACGAGCGGACATGCAAGTTTTTTTTCCAGAATTCATATTTTTGTATAAAACCTTCTTTCAAGACTCATTGCTTTTGGGAAGACAAACATTGTTCGATAACTACCCAGACAACCAGAATACACGTATATTCAAAGTTGTTTTCGTGATATACAAACATATATACAAACAAAAAATTCGTATATAATGCAAAGAAATGGCTTATACGCACAAATGTGGTGGCCATATACGTGCATATTTTAATTGAATTTTAAACGAGTTTATTTAACATCATATACGATTTAATCTGTAATAACATACTCATTTTGAAAAGTCTTACGATGTAATCCAATTTAATTTGTGATACAGTACGACGGAAAAATGATTTATCGCATATAAGTCGGAAATTTGCATCCTATACGATTTAACTTAAACATAATGCGAGGTTTGCCTTAAACTGTAGCAATTTACGATACTGTATGTACATTGTTATACGACTTCTGGGTGTCTGGGTAAGCTAACATAAAAATCACAAGGAATTTCAATAAACCTTCCGGCGACAACCACATTGCAAATTCTGCATGCTTTTCATGCACATCTTTAATAGAATCTTACATTTCCCGGTTGGGTGGAAAGACAAATGATACAAGCAGTTTTGTAGATCCAAATAGTGATAATCGTTGGAACAGGTACATGGTCGCTCGTAATAAATATTCACAATCGATAAAGAAAACTCCCTGTGATTATATTCAGATCAAAATAACAGCAAAAAGCTATGGAAAATTTTGAAATCTTTATTTAAGCTTAGTAATTGTAAACCGTGGTCCAGAAACTTCAATGGCAGATTAGACTACAGCTATACAAATCAATCGTAGGTATCTCCTGATTCCACAAAATTCATGGTTTTTCAAGTAATAAATGTTTTCAATTCGATGCCTAGACACATCAACTCTATCAGACTTTAAGAGAACCCGCATCATGCATGAGCATGATTGACCGCCCACGGTTGCTACTCTGGTATTGCTAGATTAGCTGTACTTACACAGAGAACCAATAGACGATGCTTGGGACTAGCAATCATCCTAGCTTAATCAACTAGCAGGTCAAGAAAGGAATGGGTAGGAATGTGTTGACGTGACGCTCGTTTTGATGGAAGCCGAGAAATCCTCTGCACTTCCACGAGGAATCACTGGGATGTTGGATAAGAGGATAGGATATTTTGGTAAACGATAAGAATTGACGTCCTAACGATAGGTAGGGGTTACTGTATAAATAATTAAAAGGAATGATCTGGAGTTGCATGAACAGCAACTGGCCTCCTCGTAGACTTTCTTCGACCCATCGCAGGAATCTCCTCAAAACACAGACGGTTCCATCATCGTCGATAATACAAACAACCTCGACTTCAGTCACTCAATTTCTTTAAACTCAAGCTATATATGAATATTTTAATTGCATTGTATGATTAAACTCAACTTTGCCTATTTAATGAATCCACAATTTAAGTAAAGAATCAATTTGCTAAATAATCGAGGTTATTTGAGCAAACAAGAGTTATAAAAACAAGTATCAATGATAAATTCTTGTAATGGCAAAACTCTGCAACGGTAAAACAATTTAAATGCATTGGTCTAATGTATGATGATATTCAATTTATTCTCTGGGTAATCCAAATTCTGAAAATCATAGATAATTTATAATATAAAATAAAATTTAAATAACAATGATTTG